AGTGTATCAATAATAATATACTACGAAAGGAACTTCGTTCCAACCGAGTGTTCCACGACACTCATGCATGTTTTTTTAAGCATGATGCATGTTTTTGGAGCGTTGGTGCTTCACGTCAGCTATATCTTAATTTACGCGGGTTTTAATTGGATGATTGTGAACTGAAAAACGCAACTTTTTTCCAGACCGTATACATCATCATAGAAAACAATTTTTTGTCTTGTTAAGTTTGATTAATTTGGTAGGCCCCAAGTAGTGAAAGCCCAAGGCCCCACAAATTCACGGTCTGCCCTTGGTTGACTGTCATGTCTTCATGTCTAAGGACTAACCGTACTTCTTATAACTTTGTGGACTAACCACTTAGGTTACCATCAAGTAGACTCAAGTTTGTTTGTCATTGTCACTTCAGTTTTATAAAAGAAAACATGTGTGCAGATCACACGCGGTAGGACCGAAACCTTCAAATGAAATGAAATATAAAACAAAAATATTTTTCACAGCAAATGTTTTATCTAATTTGATAATTTTCATCCACAAGTGTGGCACAAAATAAATGTTACAATCTTTATTTTTAGACAAACATGTAGAGCCTAGTGTATTAATTAAAATAAATCAAAATAAACAAAAATGATTTGTAAGAGCAAAGTCTACTTCATTCTATAGGTAGTCATTTTATCGAACAAAAATTGATTGACACTCATGATGGTCAGATTTATAAATCGGTACGATATGAAATCGTGGATTGTTAAGAAAGGTTTGGGTATGATAATTTTATTCAGTGTAATTTATTTTATTAATTTGATAAGTTTGTATTTTTTTTTATTTTAACAGTTAAAAGCTACATTTAACCACATTCAAAGCATCGCCCACAGAGGAGCTGAGAGAAGTCTATTGTAATTTTTCATTATCCATTTTTTTATAGAAGAGGGGGCAAACAAGCATGCAGCTAACCTAATGGTAAGTGACTACCGCCGCCCATGAACAACCGCAACACCAGGGGAATTGCAACGGCCTTTTAGAAAGGTGTAAACTTTTTTCTTGAAGGTCCCTAAGTCGTAACGGTCCGGAGAAATCGCCGGTGGTAAACAATTCCACGGAGAAGTTGTACGAGGAAGAAAACGCCTAGCAAAACGTAAAGTTATGAACCGCCAAGCATCCAGATGGTGTGGATGGTATCGTGAATTTTGAAGCGATGTGCGTTCGTGAAATTTGGCGGCTGGAATTAACCGAACAATTCCTCAGAGCACTCCCCGTGGTAAATTCGATAGAAAATGCAAAGGGATGCAACATCCCCACGCAGTGCCAGTGTATCGAGCCGATCAGAAAGAACTCGATCGGCGACGATTCGAACCGCTCTGCGCTGGATGCGGTCAAGTGGAAGGAGCTGGCACTGGAGTGCCCCGTGCCGGAGGTGAGAACAGTATTGCATGTGAGGCCGAACTTGCGCTTTGTAAATTTGCAAGCGATGTGCCGGAATGAAATACTGTCTCGCTCTGCTGAGCACGTCAAGCTTTTTAGAGGCCAATTTGGCCTTCCCTTCCAAGTGACCACGAAACTGCACACTATTCGATATGTCGACGCAGAGGATTCCGATGCTAGCTAAGGCAGCAAGGGGAGTGCCTTGAAACTGAGGAGATACGACAAAGGGGTTTCTTTTCAGCGGTAAACGCGCAAACTTGTGTCTTCTGGGGATTGAAGTGGACTAGATTTAGTCGCCCCCAATCCGAAGCTTTGTTCAGCAAAGACTCGACTTCAGACACAAATTTGTCCCGGTACTCGGCAAGGTTTTCACGAGAAATATTGGCACGGCCGGTATATAAGGCATCACCAGTGCTGTCTTCTGCATAGCAATGAATGTTACCAGTTTGCAACATATCATTGATATGCAGGAGAAACAGCGTTGGTGATATCACACAGCCTTGTGGAACACCAGCGTTGATAGGCTTGAAATCAGAGCATGCACCGTCTAGTACGACCTTGATGCTCCGATCAGCAAGGAAACTGGTGATCCATTTGCACAACTTCTCGGGAAGCTCATAGGAAGGAAGCTTCGAAAGAAGCGCTTTGTGCCAGACCCGATCTAACGCCTTCGCTGTGTCCAAACTAACGGCCGATGCCTTGCACTCTACTACCTCCGCCCATCTATGAGTCAGATAGACCAGAAGATCACCAGCTAATCGACCAAGACGAAACCGCACTGGCGGTCACTAATCAGCTGGTGATCCTCAAGGTACCGCATGAGCTGGCAGTTTATAATGGATTCCATTAATTTGGAGAACAGGGAGGTGATGGCGATAGGCCTGTAGTTGGACGGGTCTGAGCGGTTGCCTTTTTTAGGGATCGGGTGGACCAAAGCCGTCTTCCATGAATTCGGGACTACGCCTTGAGAATAGAAGTACCGGAAAAGACGCGTTAAGACCGGTACCAACCCCGGAGCACACGTCTTCAACACAATGGGCGGGACTCCATCAGGCCCACTCGACTTGCTGACGTCCATGGTGAAGAGTGCTTTGCGAAACGAGCGCTGTGTAAACCGCAATTCCGGCATGGAGCACTCACACCGCGGGATGGTCGGCGGTGTGTTCTCCCGTCATCTAGAGTCGACTTGGAAGCAAAGGGAGAGCTTAACAGATCGGCTTTCTCCTTTGTGGCATGGGCCAGTGAGTCGCCCTCTCTCTGCAGAGATGGAAGAGATGGCTGACAGAAGTTCTCTTTTAAATAAAACTAATTTTACGGATTTTATCGCGTATATTAACTTATTTTACATTCCCGACGTTTCAAGCACTTTACAGCACCCATGGTCACGGGGGGGACTGAGGTGTATGACGTCCCAATGTCATAGTTAACCACGGCTACCTCCAGATTAAAAATTATAAATTTTTGTTCCGATCTACGCAGTATGAACTTACAGTATCATGAAGTCTTGCAGTTGTATGCTTGGGTTGGAATTTAATTTTATTAATTAAGGGATCCCAAGCAGATGGTAGCACCCAGCCATCTGCTCTATTGAAATTATGATGTTTTTTATTTCAATAGCCTCGCGAATGAAGTAGTATAAATAGCAGTAGTTTCGGCTCGCCGCTCACTTAGTCCGCAGAGTCTACTTCACCTGAGGATGCCTCGTGTAGAGGCGAAACACGTGTCGTATTTTCGAGAGTGGTGTGTCGTGCCTAGTGTGGTGGTGCTGTGGGTGGTGGTGCTGTGGGTGGTAGTGCTGGGATTAACGGAAACGGGTATAGTGCGTGCGATCGAGGGAGGGTGGGAGGCGAGGGAGGGTGGGAGGTCCCCCTTAAAAGTGGGCAGGACACATCATTTTCTTCCCTTACGCGGAATTAAGCAAATTAGTTTATATCAACCCCACAAAATACCTTATTGTGACTTATGTATAAGAAATAAATCTATGGTATTACGGACTTTTTTTTAGATAGAGGAAGGATCTATATTTTTGTAGAATATTGTATTTACGTATCACTAACCATTACGCCAGCGATAGATAAAGCAGCTCTTGAGCTCTTTTTCATCCGATTTGCTTAACAAAAATCAATATTTAAGGCTAGCTGAGATGTGTAGCCTAATACTAGATGTATTCCTCATAAATATGAGGATTACTATAGGCTTCATGAGAAATACTATAGGATATATAAAATAATTTATGAAATCGGACTCGTATTTACGGTAGTTCCAGAGATTAGCGTGCTTACAAACAAATAATATCTTCCACTTTATTAATAGATCTTTACCTATGAAATTGCCGTTCTACAATACTAACCATTTCAAATCAAAATAATTTTTGATGAAGCTGATGATACTCAATCTACGACTGATTTAGCAGCTTTCGACGTTAGCATCAAAACAATATTGGTCCATTTGAGTCAAGTTGGCAAGGTAAAAAAGCTTGACGAATGGGTGCCCCACGTACTCATGGTCGCCAGCGCGAAGAACGCGTCGAGACGTGCCTTCCACTGCTCACAGGCACACGAACGAAGGAATTTTGAAACGCATGTTACTACATGCAAGTTGGTTGGATCCTAGTTCAGTAGGTAAACAATACCCAATTCGAAGACTTACCCTTAGAAAAATGATGGTCACTGTTTGGTGGTCTAGCGTCGGCTTCGATCAACATTTGGTATTGTTGACCGCATTCAGCGCTGAGCAGTTCGAACCGGAATGCGGAAAAAAAGCTGCCGTGTGGCTCTTCCACTGTTATGTTGTCTGCCTATATTATTAACTGTAATCTACTTCGTCATTGTTCATGCTTTAGTTTAGTTTAAATAGGGCCCCAATTTCATTTTTGCCCCGGGGCCCTTGATTACATAGCTACGCCACTGGTGACGACCTAATATATTAGTATAGATTCTATCTCATTCTCTCGCAGGCTAAATCATATAAATGTATGTTTGTCTTTTTGTGTCGCTTTTGGGATTCGAAACGCAATGAAACGGTCATTGCGTTTCAAATCCCAACGATACTGAAAAAGTTTTATTTCGAAAAAAAAAAGAAACTTTTCCTCATAAATTAAAAGTCTAATAATAAGAATCAATCGGCCGTTTGGTCTCCCCTGCCGAGGGCTTCCATCTGGTTGGGTTTTTATATATTTATGTATTTTTTATGTATTTATTTTATTTTATTCATATTTATGTATGTTTACCATTTTCATTTACAATTATATATTTATACTGCCCAACCAGATGAGAAAACTTTATAGATACCCCAGAATCAATAATATTTTATATAATGAGAAGTCAACTCAATGATTTAACATTCTTAGGAAGATTCTGATAACATTTTACTATTTATTGTGACCGACACATGAACACATTTCAAGATACATACATTTATTTAACGTCACATCCAATACCTACTGTACCTCATAATAAGCGAGTATAATGATAACCTTATCAAAATCTTTTATCCATTTCGTGTAAGTGCGCGTTACAACATTGTTTTGTATTTAAATTCCACAGTCCATTACGTTTCAGTCACATAAAATAAATGCCAATATGAGTCAAAAGTGTGCAAGATCAGTTATAAGTTATCATAATACTAACTATAAATATACATCAGTACAATATAAAGATCAAAATGGTACGTATAAAAATACCTCAATTCTAATCTAACATAGTTGTGCATGAAAATACGATAACATTAGAAATCATCAACAAGTGATAAAACGTGTCGTCATAATTTTGCTACCTAGTTCTAGTTTTTATTTTGTTAAGTGTATTATTGACGATTGTATATGTAACATTAATTATACAGTCAGCATCAGATATAAGGGAGCATCAAAATATTTGACCATCAAAGTGGTCAAATATTTTGAAACATCCAAAGTGAAAATAAACATTCAACCATCCGTAGTGGTCAAATTATAGAAAACATTAATCTTGCTCAAATATATCGGAACACGTACAACGTCAAATATATTATTCAATCATTTAAACCGTTCAAAATTATAGTAAACAACAGAACGCCAATGGTATCCAAGCAGCCAAAGTACCTATTTAAAAATTTAGAAGACTAGGAAAATAAATTTGGTGGTTTAGTGATTGTAGTAGTGCGACTGCTGGTCATGAAGTCCCGGGTTCGAATCCCGAGTCGGGTCAAAAAAAATCAGTTATTGAGTTTTTCCATCAAGAAATACTCGTGCCTCGGAAAGCACGTAAAGCCGTTGGTCCTGCGTCTGATCTCTCTCCGGTCGTGTCGGTTTACCGTCCCATCGGACTATGAGAGTGAGGGAATAGAGAGTGCACCTGTGCTTGCGCATACACCTGGACACTATAATCCTGTCCTGTGCCGATGGCTAGTCTCCGTTGAGACTGGCCGCCGTGACCGAATTTCGGTCTGGAGGACATTATTATAGCATAAGGGTGACAAACAAACACACAGTCCGCGTGATAGTAAGTGAATGCTGTGGAACATAGACATCTACGCTTATCCATAATTTTTACTAAATGTAACCACACTAGGATTTTCTCCTGTATCTTGGGGGCAGTTTACAAATATAAATTGCCGGATCGATTTATTCGGATGTTCTTTGAACTAGACACAAAGGCTACCTTGTTATTTCTATGTTTTAGTTTACAGACTTATGATACCTAACATAACTAAAGTATGACTTATCTATCGTATTAGGGCAATCCTTTAATGATAGTAGTAAGTGGATATAATATATTAATAAATAAATAAATATAAATTACATTTAAAGTAAACAATAGAGACGACAATAACAAAAATACTCCCCGGCGGGGAATCGTACCCCGGTCTCCCGCGTGACAGGCGTGATACTTCTCACTACACACTTAGCTTTGGACCATTGGTTAAATGTTCTAAGCACTTAGCCCATGACACGTTCTAATACACTTTCGGAAACGGTCGTTTAATGACGCCACGCAATGAGGCGGGTGCGGAGTTCGCCTCCAATACGAAGCTTACTGTATAGCTATGTCCGTCTGTTGTGTCTCAGATACAGAGTCAATATGTCTATAATTCGCTAAGAGATTACCTACCGTTCGTCATAAAACAACTAAGATAATCATATGAGTTGTGCACATTGTTCATCCGTTTTCCGATACTGTAATGTTTGTACTCGTATCAAACACAAGTGCGTCTGTGATACGACGCTTTAAACTGATGGGTGTCCATCAGTTTCAACCGTCTTTAATGCTCTCTGATAATCTCTGTATAAGATGTGTATGCAGATTAATTTTTCGTAGTTCCCGTTATGAAATTATTCGACTCAACACCGTCAATCTCAAAATGTATTAAGTCCATCTCGCAAAGGTTCCAACTGGCTTGTTACCACATCCAGCGCCATCTATAGATGTGACCTGGCGACTTCCAAGTAGCAGCCCTAAGAGCGTTTTTCGATTCACAATCATCCAATTAAAACCCGCGTAAATTAAGATATAGCTGACGTGAAGCACCAACGCTCTGGGAAAACTGCAGCCTGTGAACATGTTCAAGATCGTCCCCGCCACTAAATCAGATTTGTAAACTATAAAATCCTCGCAAAAGAACCCTCTTTCGTGAATCACGAGTCTATTGAAATTAAAAAAAAAAACCTAATTTCAATAGAAGAGATGTATGGCTGCTAATACCATTTGCTTGGGATCCTATAATCAATAAAATTAAATCTAAGCCCAAGCATACCACTGCAAGACTTCAAGATACTGTAAGGTCACTCGAAACGTCGGGAATTAAAAAGTTAAAAAAAACATGCGTGAGTGTCGTGGAACACTCGGTTGGAACGAAGTTCCTTTCGTAGTATATTATTATTGATAAACTTATTATATTATTGATTAACCAATACAAATAAATGAATTACTAGCGTCTATTAAAATGAAACATGATTTAAAATAAAATAATATTTCTTTCATGGAAAGATAAGAAAAGTGCGAGGGAGATGAATATTATTCTATTTCGCTTCCTTATAGCCGCCAAGGCCGTCTGCGCTACGCCAGAAAGGGTCGTGACGGAAAATCTTACACTTTTTGTCGCCTAACTCCCATCCGCCAAATCCGTACCATCCGATAAAGAACTTCATTCCAAAAATCCGTAAAATTAGTTTCATTTAATTAAAATTGCAATCAAGAATTTCATTTGTGCCCGCGGGAATCTAACCCGGGTAACACGCGTAGTGTAAAATTTACATCTAACGCTTAGCTACCACGGCTCTTATATTACAATATAAATAAATAGAAAAAAATTTTGTTTATCAATATCGATTGTTGTTAACATTGAGAACGAAATCACAATAGAATATAGATGACATGTCTAAAACGTGGTCCCATAGAATATACTCTTTCTTTAAGACGTATGGACCGGAGTTGGCACCGGTAGTAACGCATCTTTTCCGGTAGTTTGGCCTTTAATCAGGGAAGAAACTTCGAAAGAAGTGCTTTGTGCTAAAGCACTTCTTTCGAAGTTTCTTCCCTATGGGCTTCGCGAGAAATTGTGCAATTGGATCACCAGTTTTCTTGCAGATCGGAGCACCAAGGTCGTAGGAGACTGTGCATGCTCTGACTACAAGCCTATTAATGCTGGTGTTCCATAAGGCGTGCTTTCACCTACGTTGTTTCTTCTCCATATCAATGATATATTGCAAACCAGGTAACATTCATTTCTATGCGAATGACAGCAATGCTTTTTACATCGGTTTTGCCAATTTTTTGTTTCTCGGGAACACGTCATCGAGTACTGGAACAAACTTGTGTCTGAAGTCAAGATATTAAACAAAGTCTCGGATTGGGGACGACTAAATCTAGTCCAGTTTAACCCTCAGAACACACAGATTTGCGCGTTTACGGCTAAAAAGAACCCCTTTGCGATTTGATGTCTCATCAAGCATCGGAATCCTCGTCGTCGATATATCGAATGACATACAGTTTTGTGATCACTTTGAAGGGAAGGCTAAATTGGCCGCTAAACAGCTTGGCGTGCTCAGTTGACCGGGACAGTATTTCATGCCGGCACACTGCTTGCAACTTTACAAGGAGCCGGTTCAGCCTCACGTGGAATACTGTCATCTCTGGACCAAGCCATTTCAGTGCCAGCTCCTTCCACTTGACCACATCAAGCGAAGAGCGGGTCGAATCGTCGACGACTGAGTTCTTTCTGATCGGCTCGATTCACGGGCGCTGCAAAGAGATGTTGCATTTCTTTGTATTTTCTATCGCATTCACCACGAGGAGTGATCTGAGGAAATGTTTGAATTAATTTCTTCCACCATATTTCATGAACGCACGTCGCGACAAAACTCTCGGTACGATCCACACTACCTGGTTACTTGGCGGGCCACCACTGTGCGTCTTACTAGGAGTTTTCTTCCTCTTACGACCTCTTTGTGGAATCGTTTATGACCGGCGATTTCTACACGACTTAGGGACCTTCAATAAAAGAGTATACTCCTTTATAAAATGCCGGCAAGCCACCAGCAATTCCCTTAGGGTTGCAGTTGTTCGTGGGCGGCGGTCGACACTTATCATCAGGTGAACCGCATGCTCGTTTAAACGCTCTTCTATATAAATATACAACATGCATGAATTACATAGAGCATCTATAAATAGGTGTCTCTTTTTGCATGATTCGAAAATTAAATTAGAAAAAGCGAGATAAGTACATATATTCATTATACTTGTAGTATTGTAAATTGCCTCTATGGATACATAATACATATTATGTATATTATTACCACAAAAATTGTACTCCTGGCCACAGAACCACACCCATAGACAATTATTACTCTAAGGAGCAAGAATAAGCATAGAGGGAATTCTCAAATAAGAACAAAATTATTTTAGTTGAACTCTTTATGTTTAAGACATTTTATGTAATCTATACAAATAAATAAAATTGGAGTGTCTGTTTGTAATGTCAAAATAACAGCTTTTCACTAAATGCATATAAAAGTATATATTTATAACAAAAACACATTTTCTTAATTTTTGTCCGTCTGTCTGTCTGTTTCTTCCGGCTAATCTTCAAAAAGGCTGAACCGATTTTGATGGGACATTCACTGACAGACAGCTGATGTTATAAGGAGTAACTTGGACTACTTTTATTTTAGAAAAGGAATTAGGGTCCCGCGCAAAAAAAATGATAAACCTAAATTACGTTGAAGTCGCGGGGAACAGCTAGTCTATATTCTATATAAATAAATAAAATTGAAGTGTCTGTTTGTAATGTGAAAATTGCAGCGTTTTATTAAATGCATATGAAAGTACCTATAAACGGTACTTATAACAAAAATACGCTTTTTAAAATTTTTGTCTGTCTGTCTGTCTTTCTGTTTGTTGAACAGCTAGTACAAAATAAGATAGTTGTATTAATGTCACCTTTCGTCTTGAACTAGGTTGTTGCCTTTTTACGGGTTATTCCGTTTATCCACCCTAAAACCAGATATCTTAAGGTAAAATAAGTTAAATATATTCTTTACTAGCTGTTTCTCGCGACTTCGCCCGCGTGTAGTTTAGGGTTTTAGTTATGTTGCGCGGAACCCCAACTCTTTTTCTAAAATACAAGTAGCCCTAAGTTACTCCTTATAACATCAGCTATCTACCAGTGAAAGTCCCATCGAAATCGGTCCA